TGAGGGTCTGGCATCTCCAGATGTCCTGTCTTGGCGAGATGCCATGTCACGTGATCTTCGCCCCGCGATGATCATTACCTTCTGACGTGGACGTCCCTAGGCCTTCAGCCATCTCGTCATTTGTCAAGGAGAGAATCCTTCTTGTTACTTGTAACACATGCTTACCACCATCAAACAAGATGGTTGAGAAATGGCAATATGTAAACACACTAAATGACGAAATAAGCAGAGTGCGAATGGATTTACCAAAGAAAATTCGTCATGCGGAACTTGACAACGGCTGGGCATAAATGTTATGCGGATCACCCTGACCTTCCTTTCAAACCTAAGACATTCCCTTAATTTTTGACAAATAAGGCTACCCATGGGGCTCAAACTGTTGTGTGCCAAATCTCAAATACACAAGAATTTTGAGAATCGGGCCTAAGCAGCAACGCATCCCACTTTCTTTTTCGATGTCATCTTTGAAACAGGACTTGTTTTTCGCGTCAAAACTTGCCCACTCCTATCTTGTATCATCGAATAGGTAAATATCAGCCCTCTAAATTCAGGCAAGATCCAAACAAACCAATACATGGTTTCCATTCTCACTTTTGGATGTTTATGCTCACAAAATTGCGATGCTCCCTGCTCATACCTTCACATTCCTCTGCTGAATACACTAATGCTTTTTCTGCCGCTAGCTTGTTCTTCTTATACACAAACACAGAAGAAAAATATCTTAGAACGCTAAGTCTTGTGTGAGGTATCCATACATAATTTCCGTGCTATATGAGACCGGTCCCATTTGGATATAACTTTCCAATAATCATTGAGGGCGATCAGAAACATCGATTTCTAGAATATTTGCCATTTTGCAATGACATCCCTAGAACTATGAATTGAATGAAAATTCACTAAACCTATCATAGCAATAGGTTAAAATTACATATATGCCCAAAGACAGTAACTGTTTCCACCTCTCTTCCCACACCACCATGCCTCCTACTCCGCATCAGAAAACATATCTTCATCAGGACCCCCCTCCTTCTCCCTCTCCTCCCCTAACCCCGGCCCATTCGCCCTAAAATACCCCCACCCAACCAATCGATTCCCCCCCTCAACCTCGTAATCCCCCTCCTCAGCCAACACCCCATCCCCCCTCCCCGCAAACTTCTTCCCCCACCCCACATTAAGCGGCAACCCCGTATACGCCGCTGCTGTGCCACCATTTTTCCTGACCCCACTCCAATGCCGAATGCAATGCCCCAGAACCGGTAATACGGGCGGCAACAAGCAGCTATCCTTGCCAAGCTTGCCCCGAGACACTTCATACCGCGTGAATTTCAGGTAGCGGCGGTTTGTCTCTGAGAAGTCGACGGCACGCACAATTTCATTCTCGAATTTAATTTCCAAGGTACCATCTAGGCGGACTACGTCGTCTGCTGCAAGCTCCTTCGTTTGAGGCGGGAGGTAGTCTTTGTACTTGTGCTTGCGCTTCCCCGCGGGTTTGGGGTGGTTGCGGTCGGGTAGCGAGCGCAAGGAGTAGGTGCCGATGAGGTGGTTGATGACTGGGTCGAGGATTGCGATGCCGCGGGAGTAGAAGCGGCAGATTGTTATTTCGATTGTGTCGAGGTGGCAGGCGGAGAGTTTGGTTTTGTAGAGTTGGTGGATGAGGGCGTCGATGAGTGGGGACTGGATGAATTTTGGGAGGCCGAGTTGAAGCATGCAGTTGTAGAGGTGGATTTTTTCGAGGAGGGATGAGGGGATTCTCATTGCGATTGGGCCGTTGGGGTTTGTTAGGTAGTCTTTCATCTTTTGGCTTGTAGTTTGATTGGACCTTGGACTGTTCATGTATGCCTTCACTTTGTCGAGCCACGGGAAGATGTATGCTTCAATCTCATCGGCACGTATGTATGCCAGTTGATCGTCAGGCTGATTTACCCCTTTTGCTTGTGGATAGGAGACTGGGAGACGCAACTCGTTGCTATCGGGATTATACGTAAAATGGTCCTTAGCAAAGCTCGAGCACAGAATCAGAGTCTCGCGGCAAAGAGATCCCGACAATATTTTGTCCTCTCTTTGCCTGAAGCTTTTTATATATTCGAAATCGCTGCCCCAGCCAAACATTTTTTCGCAATACAGGGTTTTGAAGATTTGTGATTCAATGATGATTTTCACATCTTCAGTAGACTTTGGCCCGTTCCTCTGCTTGCACACATTAATCGGATCTGTGTATGGGTATTTTTCTCGAACGCTCCCGCGTTCTTTCTCTGCCTCTTCTTCTAGGTATTTCTCGTGTACGATCACAACCCTACCGTCTTCTTCGTAAAGAACCATTTTTTCGTCCAGATGTCAGTGCGTATGGGAATAAGAATATCCTTGGATTTGAAATGCAAAAATCGCAAATGGCGTCGGTGAGCGGGACGCGATGTTCGAATACTAAAAGGAAATGCTCGATTTCCACATTCTTTGTTCGATTCGCGGATCACAAAGACGGGTGCATTCTCAAGGGCGCCAAGAAACAACAAGCGATTTCTTTCATGATTGCCGGATTTGAAATAAACTCTATCCTGAGTACAATACTTGTTGCTAGGGATTGCTGAATCGTATCATCTAGCGTCACGTTCGTGCAGGACTGTTGACAGACCACGAGTCATACTAATCAGAACATAAACTAGATCTTGGAAACTGAGACTGCTGATTCTCATTCGATACTAGTTCACCAACGCTAATCACGATTGACATCAACAGCAATGCAACATGTAACACGAGACGGCCACTGTATGGACGGTATAAACTGTTCAATACGAGAGCGGAGCTGACTATAATTGCCCTCACTGACCTTTCGTAAAAACAACAACTCTTGTAACTATGATCTGCACATGGCGGTCCTACTTCTTTCCTCCCCCACCACAAGCCCTCTCTAGCGTCAAGAATGCGAAATGGCCACCAACAACCGGTCGGGCAAAGAACCACGGCCCAGGGAAGCCACCGTCACCCTCTGTCACGTAGAGATCGGTAAAAGCGCGGTCCGTGACCGTCTCATTCAACCACAAGGCCACGCGATCTAGTATCTCAGAGCGTACCTTCTTACTTGCAACTGCTGCTGCCTCGAACTCCCAGTCTGATTTGGTGTAGAGATGGCGCGAGTCGAGAGGCAGACCATACTTTTGCATAACATTTCCATACCATTCGCTTTGCAACGAATATACAGAATCTGGGATGAAGTCTTCGGTTATAGGAGTGCGGCCCGAGCTGTGTTTGGAAGGTGTCAAGGGCCTTTGCGCGTCTTTGTTACCAGATGCGTAATCTGAGTTGTCGACTATTGATGGCGAGTTCGTGAAGGTGGGATGGAAACACAGAACCGCGTCTGCGTACAATGAGTAGAGCGTAGTCCAACTTCCATACCAATTATAGGCAAGCTTAGCGTGTGTGCCGTCACGCGAGATAGCATACTCCTGCCACTTCTTAATGTAAGTGTCAGAAATGTTACGATAATGCTTCGCATCACCGGGTCGGTCCATGAGATCTGCAATCTCACTAAAGGCTTTGATGCCAACGATTCCCTTGAGTGCAAGGTTAGTCTGAAGCGGCAGCCAGCCCGCGAAATCATCAGTGGAAACTAGTTCCGTAGTTAGCCAGTGTTTCAAGTCAATGTGTGTGTGTACTTACGCTGATTGTGTGGTTCCAGCGTATCTTCAACAAGATAACCAGTCCACTGTTTCCATAGATCGTAACTCCCTTCAAGCCATTTCTTAGCCTTGTCGACTCCCTTCGTGCTTCCGCCCCAGACTTCGTCGATGTACTCGATGCCATCATATGAGGCGACACTTGTAAGACCAAAAACACTCTCATCAGACTCCTTCATGTCGCCGTCATGGCCAACAGCGGACCAAATGGACTGGGCTTCGGCTTGAGAGCTGTAGGTCAACGAGTTGACCAGTGCAAGACCCATGATGAGCATATCGCCACATTCCTCAACTGGCATGTACTCGTCCCTTCCATCAGCATGTCCGGTAAGGTTAGGGAAGTGAGCGCCCAAGTCATGCATCGAGTATTTGTTTGGATACTGCCCACTGAGCTGATGCTCAAGAAGCGGCTCAAGAAGGTACGCCAGCCACCGGGGTTGCGTGTAGAGGAAGAATGGGAACGCTGGGAAGATGACATCCACAGTTTGACAGTTACCGTTTGAAGAGATCTCCTTGAGAAATAGCAGTGGGTTTTCCTTAGTGCCAGAAAAGCTGGTCGCGCCCATTACCTGCCGTGCAGACAGTGCAACAATGTCAACATAATTGGTAGAGCCAGATTCATAGGCGTCGATGCGCAACTGCTCGGAGTAGTTGCTGGCTAGACTGCTGGCCGTGGCAAAGTCACCGTAGTGGAACTGAATAAGCTTGTCTTCGTCATGGAACCATGATTTCCACAAGGGTCGCATGAAGGTGAGGCCGCGCGCAGATGCATACTGTGTAACTGGGTCCTGGACATGGGTGAGGGTAAATAGCACGCTACCACTGGCAGCTTTCGAAGCAGCGCTCGACTTCCCCAGCTCAAAGGATTTCACAAACGCAAAAACTGGCTCCTCATCCATGATGCCACGGAAGTTTCCATCCACTTCGTTCTGGAGTGTCCCGGTGCGGGCGAACCTCTGGCGGAGTAATGCGGAAGTGCCAGACTGGTGACGTACGTCTGCCGGGCCTGTGAAGTGCAGCTGACCCCACTCGGGCTGATCATTTGTTTCGGTGAAGAGTTGCTCGACCTGTCGCTTCACTTGCCACGTCTTCAGCTTGTCTTTCAGACCAGGTGCTATGTGCTGGAATAGGCCCCATTCTATGAGACTCTCCCTCTTGCCGCTGACCCACTGGCCATTCACATCAACGTATATGTTGACATCAACAGTTCCTTCTACATGTATGGAGAGATACGCTGCCGGAAGAGTCTGTCGCAAAGTTGATGTGGGTGTTATGGGAGAGAGAAAGGACAGAGTGATTTCGACGTTCTCTGCTTTTTGGGATTTCTTGGATACTTGAAGCGAGTATGTGAGGTTCGTAGTGGACGCGTCGTACTTGGCACCTTTGTACACCGGATAAGCTATCGTGTAGCTGCGCAACCAACAAGTCAGCACTGAATAAATCACGGGTGTAGATGCCATGTATACCTTTTGTCGGTTTTATCCAAAGAATCATGGGGCCTGCCCAACAGTGGAAAGACTCGATTCTCGTCGGGAAGTGATGCAAGCACGCCGAATCCAACCTATACAGAGCTTGTAAGCATAACGCCCAATGTGGCTGGGAACCATGTCCCCGTAGAGAAAGTGGGCAATCGTACCTCTGCGCCAGTCCAAAACATGGGCCATTTGCTCCAAGGCTCCTCACGCGCATTCTGCAGCCATGTGCTCAAATACGGATTTCTTACGATCAACGGAAGGACCGGAGGCTGGAGAGTCGAGGCATCGATGACGCTTGCTAGAAGCGCCGTAGCGAATATCCCGAGGGAACGCATTAGAGCGGCCTGCGCGCAAACGATTACACAGACAAAAGGGCAAACTCGGTACTAAAACTTCAGAGACATAGATTGATGTTACACAATATACAGAGGGATCGAGGTTGTGTTGGGGATGAGAGCTGTCAGCTGGGGGATGGAAGCTCGGGTAGCTGCAGTCTGCGGGGTTGTGGAGCAGCCAATGAGCGCCAGGTGCCTTGCATCATGGGTGGATCGGCAGTCGTCCCATGTTTCATAACGCGGCCTGACCTCTCACCGTCTCTATCGTTGCAGCATTCAGCTCTTCGGCCAAAGAAAAGTCTCCAGATGTGACGATGAACAGTTGTAGCTGGTGTATGTGGATTCCGGTGTACATCTTGCCTCAACAAGGCACATACTATTGTAACCCAGGCGAGGCCTCCGCGTTGTTAGTCGATGCTGCTGCACGTGGTGTTTGTGGACTTCGATGCTTCCATACAGACGCAATGGCGCTCCTCAACGAAGACGCCATGCGACCTCGCCCTGTTCGTTTCTTTGATGACGATGTGGGTATCTCTTCTTCCAGCGGTTTCACAGGACTAGGAGTACGTATAGTCCGGTCGCCCATGGCACACACTGGATCGGGATAGTAAATGGGATGCACCGGAGAAACATTTCTTTGTGGAAGACTGGGGAGTAGTCGAATAGTCTGCTTTGTAGGTTCTAGCTTGATAGAAGGTGGGATAGACAGACGGTAAGATGGTGGTGGTTTGGGCATGAAGTTATCCCTCTGTAACGCTTGCTCGTTGGACTGTTCACCTAGCTCCTCTACCCTGGGGCTGGGGGTACCGTGCGGGATGTATGTACGCGGCTGCCACTTGAATGTTTCTCTACGAGAGGTACGGGCAGTTGTCGCTGACGTATCTCTATTGCTGATTGTATTCCGGTTTTTTGTTGCACCGATTTCTCCTTTATCGATGTCAAAATCATTCTGCAGTCCACTGTTGACGGAACTGTAGGTCTCCTGGTCTGTACTGATGCTGTGTATGCTTGCGCCATGTGGCTCGATCACCGAAAGGTCATTATCTTCCCCAACCCCGTTATGTTCTGAGCGAAGCACCCCCAAGTCTCGTAGTTGGTCCCGAGTACGGTAATAGTATCGGAAAGTTGCGAAAGGTCGGTCCGCCGGATCGATAAGGGCGAATTTATAGAAGCGTTTAGGTTGTTCTGGCCCGGCCCGTCCAGCGCTGACGAGGCTGCTGCTTTTAGCACTTTGTCTTCTCCGTATTCGAATCGTACTTACTTGATCCCTCTGCCCTCCTTTGCATGCTGTGTATCCTCGTACATCTCTACCTGCCTCTGAATCCGCTTTCTGGCATGTGCACGATGCACTCGTATCTCCACGCAAGCTGTCTCATCAAAGATATCCACCATGCCTACCCGGTGTTTATCATTTTCCCTCGGCGGTGCGAAGCACAGCATACGTTTCTCGATCCTCTTTACTCCCTCTGCATCTTCGGAGCTCTCAAATAAGCCAAACATAGTTTTCCCTCGCCAGCCCTCTGCTTTTCCAGTTGACCAACTCACAATGTGCGCGCCGTCGATATATAGCTTGAAGAAGAAGTAATGCTCATCGGGAACTGGCGGCGAAACGGCATAGCTTATCCAGAACGCGGTGCCTGGTAAAGCGGGTACAAACACACTACATGTTGACGTCCTGCTTTCGAAAAGCTTTGGCATAAATCTTGTAATCCCGTGGTCATCTCTGGGATCGGGGTGATACTCAGGAAGCTCTTCGACATCCAACTGAGAATGGAGCGTTATGTCTATGCTGCAATGATGCATTGCGTCGGTTGTCTGCCGATGAAGATGAGTAAGTGATGATGCCGGCGCTGTGAGTATGAGCAGGTAGGACAGTATACTCAAGATGAAGCAAACAGAAGATCCACTAGTGCGGTTAATATCTCAGTGTATATTAGCTATTGTAAAAGAGAGTCTGATAAGTGCAGAGGGGCAATATCGATAAGCAAAGAGCAAACGAAGCAACCCTATCTTGGAATTTTCTGCACCTCTGGGGGTTGGCAATAACTTACCGAGGATTGGTAAGCTTACTCTTCTGCAACTGTGACTGACGCCGTCGTCTTCATGCTGCTTCTGACTCCTGAATCACCGAAGCATCTGTTCCCCAGGATCAACATATGAAGGCAGCCATTTTTAGATATAAGTGTACAGGGTATTAAATGTTGATGATACAATGACCGCATTCCGAAACCTTTTACTTTTTGCCCTCCCCAGATCCTCCATTCTTCTCCAAGTAATCCTTGATACTAAACATACCTGTCCCCCTCTCGAGCGGCTTTTGTTGATTTGGACTAGGCTTCCAGCCAATCATATAGATGAGCCTGAAGGTAGCAGGTAATGTCCCATCTTCGTTTCCATGGAGCTCCTTGTATATTCCCTCGGCGGCAAGTAGCACATCTCGATGTATGGCGCCCTTCTCTCTCGCCAGTACGGCATTCGACTCACCCATAGCTTGCAGATCCTTCATCAACGAAAACGTATCAGGGAAGTCGACAACAATGTCGTCGACATCTACAGTAAGGAGATTGAAGCCGGCTTTTTGCAACAGGCCACCGACATCCTTTACATCTGCCAGTGGCGAAGTATGTGTTGAGACGCCACCTCTCCGGTCGAGCTCTGCTAATTGGAGCGATGTTCGGAGTTCATATAAACTGTCACCACCCATCATGACACCAATGAAAGGACAGTCGGGTTTCAGTACGTTGTTAATCTGGGCAAGGACTGAGGGCAAGTCGTTGATCCAATGTAGACTTAGATTGCTCAGGACCGCATCGAAAGTGTTGGCCTCATAAGGTAGCAACTCTGAGATGGGAAGAACCTCTCTTACGATGTCGATTTCCTTGTTGAAGGGCAAGTCTGCATCTCGGTAGAGCAGCGATCGGGACGAGTCAGCGGCTGTGATGGTACCTATGCGCTTGGACCGCGGGCCCTTTTCTGGTGCTTCTTCGGATGGTAATGTCAACGCTCGAGAAAGATTGCATGCGTTTGCGCCGAGATCAAGAACTTTTGGGAAATGTCGGTTTATATCCTATTCGTCTTAGCAATTGCTCATTTCGCAGACAAGTGGCGGCCATACCAAGACTCGCTCACACAATCGTGAAGCAACCTCGTCTCTTAGATAATCTACATTCCGACTTGTCTCAACATCCTTTGCAGCCCGCTCCTTTTGCATCCATTTTTGCTGGGCACTAAATATCTCGAGTATGGGCGCTCCGGGCGCTTGAACAGCGTAACGTCGTGTGAACTGACGGGAAAAATATTGTCGCCCGCATGGCGAAATCAAGGCCCGCACAGAGAAACCAGCCATGTTTGCAACAAACCGTGCAATTGACTGAGCTGAGAGGCAACGCGCTCAAAGAAAGAGGCGCGGACAGAAAAAGATGTCAAAAGTACTACGTCAACATAGCTGCTAGCTATACCTAGGTACCTACTAACAGTCCGCCAATCGGCGTTTGGCTCCACCGAGCTGTACCTCCGCTGTCCAAAAGTTGACCTCCACACTCCCCCACGCGACAACCAGACCGGTGAGTAGGAGGTGGAATCCCAAACCCAGACCCTTCCATTGCAACACGTGCAAATCACCATGGCACAAGCATTCCCATACACATACTACGCCTGCGATTGCTTCGACAGCAACAGCGTAGCAGGCACAAAACTCTCCTCGCACGTCCTCGCCGCAACCGACGACGAAGAAGAGACGCTCGACCCCCGGAACCCACGCTCCAACTACGCCCTCTACCCGCTCGAGCACCTCCTCTACTGCGAAGACTGCCTGCAAATCCGCTGCCCACGATGCGTAATTGAAGAAACGTTAAACTGGTACTGTCCCAACTGCCTCTTCGAAGTCCCTAGCTCGGTCGTCAAAAGCGACGGCAATAGATGCACGCGCAACTGCTTCAACTGCCCCGTCTGCATATCACCCATGGTTGTCAATCTGCTCGAGAACCCGGACGTCGACCATAGCACAGCGGACCGGCATATCCTGGCGTGTCCGTACTGTCATTGGAGCACGGTAGAGACGGGCATCGAATTTGAGAAGCATACGGGCGTGTATTCGCAGATTTCACGCATAGCAAATGGGGGGAAGCCGATACCGTCGATCAAGGAGCGAGACAAGGAGCGTGAGAGGCGAAAGGAGCTGGAGGCTCAGCGTAGAGATTCAAGGAATCCGCAGGCCTCGTCTCATGGCTCGACCATTGTGAATGCGGGGGGTTACGAGCCGCCGTCACGCGACGATCTGTTTGCAAATCTCGCTGCGTTCTACAAGGCGGAATTGGACGCCCAGACGCCGTCGAATCCGCTGGAGATGAACTTTTCCTCGCCAACGGCATATTCTCGTATCATGAACTTGTACTCGACGTCGACGAAGAAGTCAAAGCGGAGCAAACCCACGTCCATGAGAGATGCAGCATCCGAGTTGGAAGGACTGGTGACACACGATCCCGCCGCTGAAAACGCAGCAATCGAGCGTATCAAACGAGGCGGCTGGGGTGCAACATTATCACCCACCCAGAAACTCGCCCAGCCCGACCCCTACGTCCAGTTCGACGACCAGCTCCGCCCCATCCCAACTCTCCTCTGCACAAAACGCTCCAAGCGCTGTCGCTCCTGCCGCCACATCCTTGCAAAACCCGAATCAAAAATCACATCGACACGCTACAAGATCAAACTCCTAGCCTTAAACCACATCCCCCGCCTCAGCGTCCGCGCCCTCCCACCCCCTTCCAACCCCCCCGTCCCCGCCTTTCCAGGCTCCGTCACAGCACCCGCCCCGCAACCCGCACAACCCCAACCCCAACCCCCTTTCAACTACAACGCCCTCCGCCCAGGCATTCCAGCGCACTTCCTGCTCCACCTCAGCAACCCCCTCTTCGACCCCATCCGCGTCACCCTCGCCACCAGCAGCACAACCCCCGGCCGTGTCTCCTCCCGCGTAACCATCCTCTGCCCCGAATTCGAAGTCGGCGCCAACACCGACGTCTGGGACGATGTCCTCTCGTCTTCTCCCGCACCTATGCCGCGTCGCTCCACCATCAACGCGGAAACAGGCCAGATCGAAGCCGGTAAAGTTTGGGATAAAGGACGCAACTGGACGAGTGTCGCGATAGAAGTTATACCGGGTTTTCTGGATGAGGTGAACGGCGAGGAGGAGGAACTAGAGCCTGATGATGATTTACTTGAGATTCCTATCTTTGTGAGGTTGGAGTTCGAGGTGGATGTTAATGCCGAGGAGAGGGGGCTTGGGGATTCGAGGGGGAGTAGGGGGGAGAGGGAGAAGAGGGAGGAGGCGTTTTGGACAGTGGTGGGGGTGGGGAGGATTGCTAATGCTTAGAGAGGTTTTTGGATGATGACGATGATACCCTTTTGTTATGATGATGATGATGATGAATGTATGAAGGCTTCGGAGAGAATTTTTATTCGTTGCGCAGAGAGGCTATTTTTCAAGACGTGGTCTCGCTATCTTTCTTCTTCTTCCGAGTCACCATTCCATCCAGCGTTGCTTGGCTTGCTTCTCGCTTGTGCACCGGCTTCTTATCTACCTTCTTGCCCGTCGACTTCGCTCGCTTAGTACTCTTCGTTTCATCCTCATGTCCACTTTCCTCATGGGCATCTTCCTTGTCGTCTTCACGTTTGATCATTGCACCGGGTGGACCCTTTGTACCCTCAGTCGGCCCCTCGGCATCATCATCAAACAATTTCCGCCAGCTTCCGTCCAAGACCTGAGGCGAGTTACCGTAGAGATTAACGCGGTACGCATTCTTCATTCCTTGGAGACAAATATCTCTTCTTGTGGGGAAATCAAACATGGGCTTGGGATATGTTTTCATGCTACCATCTGCATCACCTTCAGTCCCATCACCCTTGATTAGACATCCCCACTTCTTTTGATCAGCAATCGGCGCCTTGTGCGGTTCGTAAATGTATTTTTTGTCGAATTTGGCGAGTTCAGGTACGTATCGGCGGATAAAGTTACCTTCCTTGTCCCATTTTTGGGGGAAGGCTACAGGCGAGTAGCAGCGGTAGAATTGAGCGAAAAAGGCGGTGCAAGAAAGCCATTGCCAGTTTCCTATATTACACGCGGCTTCGTGGTCAATGAGCCATTCTTCAAAGACTTCGGCGCCGCGCTCCCAGTCAATGTAGCAGCCGCCTCTGGTCAAAAAGCATGCAACGGCGTGGCGGCCGAGGTGATGGATCCAGCCTTCCTGCGCAAGCTGCCGCATCAGTGCGTCAATCCATGGAAATCCCGTACAGCCCTGTTTCCAGCGCCGGAAATGGGACTCGGCATCGGCATTGTCGATTGTGTATTCGCCGGTGATTAGGCCAGACGAAGTATCGACTTTGGAAGGAAGGTGCCAGGGGATAAAGCGGCAGTGCGGATTGTTGTAGGTTTGGCCAAACGAGTATCCTAGGGATGCCTGTGCGCCAAAGTACATGTCACGAAAGAGGAGCTGGCCAGTCAAACTAGTAGGTGGCTGTGAGGCTTTTCCTTTGTATTTGTCGGCTACATCTTGAGAGCGCCAATAGAAGAGACGACAGCTCAGGGAGCCAAAGTGCATGTGCGGAGACAGAAGGGTGGTAGATTGCGGCTCGAATGCAGTTGGTGCAGTATTGGGTTTCTCAAAGGTAGCTGTGTATTCTTCATCTGCGATTATTTTATCAAGCGCTTGCAGGGCTACTGTCTCTCCGCCGCGGTGTGGTGTTGTTGCTGCTTTCAGACCCAGCTCTTCCATCGTAGGCACAGCAAAATCGCCATTTGGTCCGGCCAGCGCAGTGTATGAAGCTTCATTTCCATCTCTTTGTATCGAGTTGATGTCTGGCTGGCTTTGTGGCTTCTCTTGGTCAAATTCCAAATGCACTTCTCCAGGGTCGGGTAATGATTTGGGTGCAGGGATGGGCCTAGGGACTGGTCCAATCTTCTTGGCAGCTGCTTGTACCTGAGCCATGCTCATAGTTGGTTTCCCATTGTTATTTTTGACCAATTCATCCGGATCAAACAGCGTCCTCCCAGTCATGGTGATGACGTCGACGCCCGCTTGCTTCGCCATCTCCATGACCTTGGCATCGCGCTCTCTGGCATAAGCATCCGTATCCTTTTCAAAAACCAAATGGGTGATATTCCACGCTTTGAATAGCTTGGGAAACAATGTTTGCGGGGCTTCGCGGATGAGGAAAAGCTTCGATTTTGGGTTCAAGTGGGTGATGGATTTAGATAGGTCGTTTTGGCAGTCGATGAGGTACTGCCAGCGATTGGGACCAACACGGGCGCGATAGACATAGTGTGGGTCCCATGTCCATATAGGATAGAGACACTCAGGGTCAAGGTCCAGGGCAGCTTTCAGAGCTGGGGAATCATGGAGACGCAAGTCGGTCCGGAACCAGTAAATAACCCGCGACTTTGTCATGTTGCTCAGGGTTTGCCAGGGCTCAGAAAACGAGGGGAATGAGCAAAAAAAGAAGGAAGAGTTGTCACAAAGGTCAAACTTGAAGAGATGCTTCCTTGACTAGTGGACGGGGAGAGTGCATGGCTGAATGCATGCGGTCATCGATCGGAGCTAGGACGCTCGCTAATCGTTGAGTGGTGTAACAAACCAATCGGCCGTACTTTTCCCTGTGCCGGACGCGATGGAGAGGCAATGATCAAGGTGAAGGAATCGACTGTACTGCATACAGCGGCAGCAGGACTCCTACGTCCGGGGTTGGCATGCTTAGCGCTGGAGGGTTCAAAGAAGGGTTCAGGGCCGGGTTCAGGGACGGGTTCAGGGACGGGGTTCAGGCGAGAAAGGGTCTCAATTCTTCATCAACGAAACACGCTGAGCCATGGTCGGGCATGGGAGTGGTGGACAGGTCGCGAGAAAAAGAACGGGCATGGGCGTGGGCGCGACACGGGCGGAGGTTGCTGTGGCTGGTCGAGGCGGTGAAGGCCGGCTCGCACGGGCGTTCCCCAGCGTGGGCGGGCGATGCGGAGACGATGGCCACAGGGCTGAGTTTAGAGCAGGAGCATGCGAACTCGGGGGGTGATGTCTGGATGAGATGCATTAGCAGAGGGGTTAGTCGGTCGGTGCTATGTACCTGTGTACATGTACATATGCACAGTACACCAGACGGCCAGCACGATAGGAAGACGGCAGCAGGGCTGGGTCACGGGACGGCTGCACGATGATGGCGGCAACGGGTGGTTGGCGCGCGTGTGCCGTCAGTGGTCAAGAGGCCCAAAGTGGGAGGTCCAGGGTGGGCAGAGAAGAGGCCCGAGCTCCCAACGCCCGCTTGCTTGTGCTTGGGCCGTCGCCTGCTGTGACATGGCAATCTCCCAACAGACAGCCCTCACGCGCTTTGCCTTCACAAATAGAGCCCTCTCAAGAACCGCTTTTGCCCTGTCGTGACGCTCCAATCGAGGGCGCAACCTCTCTGCCCAAGATAAAAATTTTCGTGCTGCTGTCGTGTCACTGCTGCTGTCGCGCGGCACCCTCGCCCCTTCGGTCTGGATATATTACTGCGGGGAAACAAAAACAGCAACGCCCTTGCCTCGAAGCCATCCATCTACAGCTAGACTCTCTGACGTGGAGTCCACGGACAGCTGTACACCTACTACCCCTCGGTCGCCTCGACTGAACGCTCCCTCACTCCAATTTTTTCAATTTTTCAACTCTTTGCAACAATGGCTGAATCACTGGAAGATGTGTACATCACGGTAGGCCTTCTTGCCCGCTCAATTGACTCGATTGCAGCCTGGCTAACACGCCCCACAGCTCCTCATGAGCGACTCGTACATGCCGGGTGCAGCAGTCCTGGCTCATTCCCTGCGAGATGCCGGAACCACGAAGAAATTGGCCGTGCTCATCACCCCCGAGACGCTCTCTGAGCAGGCTGTTGAAGAACTCAAGGTGCTGTACGACTATGTGATTCCAGTCGAGCGTATTCGCACTGCCAATACTGCCAATCTCTACTTGATGGGGCGTCCTGACCTAGCATACACTTTCACCAAGATTGCACTATGGAAACAGACTCAATTCCGCAAGCTAGTATATCTCGACGCCGATGTCGTTGCCCTGCGTGCTCTGGACGAGCTGTTCGACATTGAGGCCGACTTTGCTGCAGCCCCAGACATTGGCTGGCCAGATGCCTTCAACAGTGGTGTCATGGTCATCAAGCCAGATCTGAGTGTATACGAGGCTCTGGCGGCCATGGCAGCCGCTGGCGAGAGCTTCGACGGCGCAGACCAAGGCTTACTCAACCAGTATTTCGAGCACCGTCCCTGGCAGCGCCTCAAGTTCACCTACAACTGTACCCCCAATGCCGAGTACCAGTGGGAGCCCGCATACCGTCACTACAAGCATGAAATTGCCGCCGTTCACTTCATCGGCAAGAACAAGCCTTGGTCGGGCAACCATCCTGGTGGCAGTGGTGTATACGGAGAACTGGTGGCACGATGGTGGGCAGTACACCAGAAGCATTTTGGCGATGGACAGAGAGCTGGTGAGACACATGGCACGCTAAGTGAAGCCATTAACTCTTCCTCTTTTGTCCCTCCCCCTGCAGAAGCTTCTTCTGTCCCCACCGAGCCACCCATAACTGATACTGAAGATGAAGTGCACAATGTTAACCAAGTCGATATAGGAACTCTCTCGAACCCCTGGGACCCAACCAAGTACGTACCTGCACCTTGAATTCATACCCATCATGCTAACATTCATAGGTCCGGCCCCCCATCTCAATCGAGGCCCGAAGCCGCCAACTTCCCGAACCAGACTTATGGTTTCAGCGACGACCCTTCACTTTTCCGAGCCCCAAGTGCCTATCCAGATGCTCCCAAGGACATGTGGTACCAAGTACCAGACAATAAGCCAGCACCTGCTAACCTGCCTCCCCCCATCTTTCCATGGGAGCAGGCCCCCGACAGACCCCAGCCGACGCGTATCTTTGCCGAAGACCAGTCGCCAGAACCCACTCCTGCTGTCGAGTTACCAACGCATCCCTTTTCGACTACCCACTTCGAAGGCGATGACAAGACGGCAGCTGAGGGTGCCAAGAAAGAACCTTCACCTGAAAGGCCCTCGGGCCAGCAGTGGCAGTCCACCGCCGGCAATGCGTGGGATAACGTTCCAGGTATCGACAATTACGTGCGCGCCGTGTCCGACCTCAATGGGCAGCGTGGTAAGACTGCAGCTCTTCAGAAAACGACAGGTACAGACGATATTAGCTCGCCCACGATTGAGCAAGGTCGTCGCGAGAGCCTCATCATCACCGACTTCCCTACTGCTGTCGAGCGGCCGAGCCTTCCTGTGACACCAGCCCCTGTCCGCCGCCCCATGTTCTGGGGTGATGAGAAGAACAAGGCGGGTGAACTACCTTCTGCAACAGGTGTGCCTGACCAGACCGAATGGGTGAGTCAACAATGACTTCTTCTTTCTGTTTATTCTAAGAACTAACCTTGACATGCAAAGAACCCCGAGGAGAAGCTTGACCAGTTGCGACGCTCATCCCTCATTGAATTTGAGCACCTCAAGAAGGATGAACACCCTGACCCGCCACTGCGCGAACTGCCAGAGCACTCTGTCGGGGATGCTGCAAAGGGACTTGACGGCAGTGACATCCCGGTAGGCGAGCAGATTAAGGTCTGAGGAACAATAGTCACCTCACCTACCTTTGGCGATGACGGCCCCTTTAGTCAAGGCTAAGGGATATGTTGTCAGTCCAACCAAAATTACAGAGTAAAAATGCCAGGGTCCAGGACGAGTATGATGAGAGGATTGGGGGTTTTCATCACGCTCATTTACCAGACGATGCGATGAAGTCATATACCTTACGTTGTTGTTCGCTGTCATGGATTTTTATCACGACTCTACACTTAGCCTTGCTGGCATTGCTGTTCTCTTCTGTCTTTCATTGGCGAGCTCACATGAGCATTTGCACCTGCATTATCTAGCGATTAGCTTGCTTCACTCGTCACATCAATCAGCATCAGCATGAGCATCGCCAATTTTTTTTACAGTATACGACCCCGCTCGTTCAAGGATATAAAGTTGACGTGGAGAGATAGCCGCTGGTGACGCCGTCTATACAGAGTACCACGTAGGTATGCATGTATGGTACGCTCGGATGCAGGGTTTGCGGCACATGCATGGCATATGCATGCACGCCCCGACAGTGGGTCCGCACTAAAGAGCTTGACTTTAGCTGGCGTCTGTCCCGTTCGGTGTGTTACCTCCCTTGGTCCCATGGCCCAGCTAGGTCATCCAAAATGCCCCGCTTGCCCCTCCCTCTGCTCGCGCCTCGGTTTGCTGCCCTCACACAACCACCTGCCCGAATAAAACTCCAACCAATCCGTAGACCGCGAATAAGCGACAATCTAACTTGCAGGCCTTTCTTCTGTCCCTCGCAGCCTTTTTGTTCCTCATCGTCGCCCGGCTTTATTGCAACACCTAGACGCGTTGCCCACTCCATCCCCAAACGCATACCCAACGCCGACTGGCCCTATCTGTACTACGGATTCGACAAGATGGCGCACCTAGACCCTTACTTCAAGCAAGTCGATGATTTGCAAAACACCTTCATCGAGAGGCTGAGGGAGGCGGTGGCCATCCCCAGTATCAGTTCCGAGGACCAGAGGAGGCCTGATGTCGTCAAGGTATGTATGTCAGCTGTTGATAAGCCTGTCATGGCACGTGCGAGCCTTCTGAACACTTCATCTGACCATGGTCTAGATGGGACACTGGCTTGCCGATCAGATCAAGGCTCTTGGTGGCACTGTCGAGCTCCGTGAGCTAGGAAAGCAGCCTGGTCGTGAGCACCTCGACCTCCCGCCTTGCCTATTGGGTCGCTACGGAAACGACCCCAAGAAGCTCAACGTCCTCGTCTACGGCCACTACGATGTACAGCCTGCAAACAAGTCGGACGGTTGGGCGACAGACCCCTTCACACTCAGCATCGACGACAAGGACCGCATGTTTGGACGCGGCAGCACTGATGACAAGGGTCCTGTGCTTGGATGGCTCAACGCAATTGAGGCCCACCAGAAGGCTGGCGTAGAGCTACCTGTCAACCTGGTCATGTGTTTCGAGGGTATGGAGGAGAATGGATCTGAAGGACTTGACGACACCATCCGCGCAGAGGCCAAGAAGTTTTTCAAGGATGTCGATGTTGTCTGCATTTCGGACAACTACTGGCTCGGTACTGAGAAGCCCTGCTTGACTTATGGTGTCCGCGGCTGCAACTACTACCAGATTGAGATTTCTGGTCCTGGTCAGGATCTCCACTCTGGTGTCTACGGCGGCATGACTCACGAGCCTATGACTGACTTGGTGCGCATCATGAACTCGCTTGTCGACCCGGATGGCAAGATTCTCATCAAGGGTATCGATGAGCTGGTTGCCCCGCTTACCGACGAGGAGGCCGCGCTTTACCCACCAATCGCCTTTACCATGGACGGTCTGAAGGAGTCACTGGGCGGTGCTGTTACGATTCACGACAAGAAGGAGGATGCGCTCATGTCCAAGATGCGATACCCCTCATTATCCCTGCACGGGATCGAGGGTGCTTTTTACTCTGAGGGAGCCAAGACTGTCATTCCAGCCAAGGTCATTGGAAAGTTCTCCATCCGAACAGTACCAAACATGGAGATTGACCCAGTGACGAAGCTGGTTGAGAAGCACATCAATGACGAGTTTGCCAAGTTGAAGTCAAAGAACGCGATGAAGTTTAGCGTCGTGCACTGCGGAAAGTGGTGGGTAGAGGACCCCAATCACCCCAACTACACTGCTGCCGCAAAGGCTGTTGAGCGTGTGTTTGGCGTAAAGCCTGACATGACGAGGGAGGGTGGAAGTATCCCTGTCACACTGACCTTCCAGGAAGAGCTTGGCAAGAATGTTCTGTTGCTGCCAATGGGTAGTTCGACTGATGCCGCTCACTCCATCAACGAGAAACTCGACAAGAGGAACTACATTGAGGGCACTAAGCTGTTGGGTGCCTACCTGCATTACGTTGCAGGCGAGATGAAGCGTGATTAGACGGATGGCAGTCGCAACTCACTGTAGGATTTCTGGACGAGATATGTTGAGTTGTAGATAGCACATGAACAAATTAAAAAATAAATATACCCTTTTCATACAAGTGCCTCTGTTAAATCGTGGTTGACAAGCGCACCACTGCATTGCACAAGTGCGGTGCAGCTTTGACCAACCACATCGGGGCGGAACAACGAAAAAAGTTCGGCCTTGAGCCTCACAACATCCAACGTCCCCATCAACCCCATCTTGTGCACCGGCGGGCCACACCACACCCCAAGGCCCAATTGCACAACCAACACAATGGCAACATGTAAAACACTCCTCCGGGTCTGCCCGTCGACCGTCCAGTCTGCGACCCTCCTGCCACGGACCCAACAACGCTTCGAATCCACAACCCGACGACACAGAAAACTACTCGCGCTCCCCGCCGCACCATCCTACACACCAGACACTTCCTCTCCAACCCTGATATTCAATCCGCCCTCTTCGGCGCCCAGCGTCCACCACACGCCGCTAAAATTCCTGCCCCCAACCGACAAGCGCCGCAACCTCTACGCCAACACGCACAACCAACTCGCCCGCACCGCCCTCTCCACCCGCACCTCGCCCATTGCCTCCCCCGGCACCCCCCTCTCAGCCCCCAGCCACTTGCCGCCCAAACCCTCCTCCGCCCTCCCACGTCCAGTACGGACACCGTACGCAAAGCAATACCACCTCACCGAGCAGCAAGTCCGGGAGATGCGTGCCCTGCGCGCCCAAGACCCGGATACGTGGACGCGGGTGAAGCTGGCGGACAAGTTTGGGTGCAGTCAGTTTTTCGTGGGGCTGGTGGCCAAGAATGCGGCCAAGGCGGAGAGGGTGAGGCAGGAGCATGAGGAGAGTAGGGCGAAGTGGGGGGTTAGGAGGAGGGAGGCGAGGGAGGAAAGGGGACGGAGGAAGGCGGGGTGGGGGAGGGATGAGTAGAGGGTGTGTGTGTATGCAGAAGGATAATTCTGCAAATGTGTACGACAATGGGGTTTTTGAAAGGGGAAAAATGAAGAAATTAGGGAGAACAAGAAATGCTTAAGAGGCTTTCTCTCTTTTTTTTAAACTTTTAAGTCGATGATTTGCATGGGAGGTAGAAGATGTATCAAGGTCCCTTGTCAACCTATAGAAGAAGAAAGAGCAACGTCATATAAACTATTACCATAACGAAAGCCGGGGGGGAAACCTTTTTTTTTTACCCTAAAATCAAAACCCCTGTTGTCCTTATTTCTTCTCACCTATCTCAACTCCTTTTTGCTTATCAATCTTAATCACTAACCCCTTACCTCTTCCTCCTCCTCCTCCTCCTCCTCCTCCTCCTTCATGATCCCTACCCCCAACCCTCCACCCTTCACACCATCCATTCCCCCTCTCTTCCTTGTCCCTCTCAGCTTCCGCTTCCTCAACACTCATTCCCGCCCCGACTTTCTTCGCCTCAACCTTGCGCAGCGCAATCCGCACTTCACACCCTTCTCTGGGCCAGGACGTCGGCAGCGCGGGACGGAAGTACTTTGGACTCGTTGACCGCGTACTCGTTATCAGTGCGCAATCAAGTGACTTTGCAAGATTTGTGAGATGGAAGCATAGTGTCGCTGATGCGGACGCGGATGTTGTTGATGGTGGGATGCTGGGGAGAAAAGCGTCGGTGTCGTCGAGGATGAGGGAGTGGATTCGTCTGTGCGTGCTGTGGTGTAGGGAGGGGGAGAAGAGGTAGGTAGGTAACGAGCGCAGGGTTGAGATTAAGGAGGGGAAGGTGGGCGGGTGTAGGATGTGTAAATGGTGCAACGCGTTTTTTACTAGGGTTTTTAGGGTGGAAGGTGGGGGTGGTGGGGAGGAGGTGGAAGTGAAGAGGCGGAGGAGGGTGGCGGTTAAGAGGGGGATGCTGAAGTGCTGCAATGGATCGATGAGGATGATGGCGGAGGAAGGGGTGGGGGTGGAGAGGGCGGTTGCGATTATGTGGGTTATGAGGGAGGTTTTTCCGGAGCCGGAGGGTTGGTGGGTGGGAGGTGGGGAGACGAGGGTGAGGAGTTGGGGATTAGGGTTGGAAGGGGGGAGGAGGGCGTCGAGAGGGGGGATGGAGAAGTAGCCAGTGCTGTGGGGGATGTCAGTTCAAGTCATTGGTATGCATAAGGAAGATGTGTTTTTTGGGGGGGAAAGAAAACGGACCTTTCGTTGTTGTTTTGATGAATTAGACGGAGGGATTTAAGTACCTATTTTCTTGGGTTAGAAACACTGATTCATGTTGCGGATATTTCTGTTTGTAGTGATGATATCTACGTACCGAGTTCAAATCCGTAACCTGAACATCTGCCAGCGACTTCTCACCGAATCTCCTCGCCTCGTTGCCGTTCATCATCTTTCTTTCTACAACCCCCTTCTTTTTTTACTAGACCTTATCTTTCAATCCTCAATTCTCTCTTGATACCATTCACAGCAATCTCTTGCAGTCGGAAACAAAATGGCACCACCCGTTTCCGCAATTCCGGTCTCGGAACTGGAAACGCAGCTGAATACGCTTCCGTCTGGTCGAGCGCGGAACCCACCAATTGCGCTAAGCGAGTGCGCGCTGAAAGAGCTGGTGCAGTATAAGTGTAATGTGCAACCCTCAGAGAAGAGGGGAGGCGTGCCGAGTGTGGTGTGTGAGCCTGTTGTGCGGATGCTGAGAAGGTGAGTTGCTTGTGCGAGATGTTTTGTTAAAAGAGCTTGGCAGCTTGAGCGATGGTAACGGGAGAGATGGACTGACTTATTTTTTTTGTAAGGAGATGAATAAGATGCTGACAGTCTCTTAGATGTCAAGGGGGACTTAGTGTCGAGACGACTGCTTGGGAGGGTTGGAAGCTGAAGCAGGAAGGCGTGACCAGCTAGACACGAGCAAGTTGCCACACCATCATGCGTAGAGCCTTTCAATAATCCTAAACATATGCAGATGCTCTCATTAAAAAAATCACATGACATTTATTGATTTCACAGTGCATTACACGAAACAATGAATACGTAATCAATTGTTGAACAATAAGACGACGCATCAATGGCCCTGGATGCCGCTCCTATGGAACAAGCAGCTATAGTACAACCAACCTCCTCCAAGAAAGTGAACAAAAACGTGATCGACGCCGGTCAAATGCCCTAAACGTGCCTTCATAGCTCCAAGGCGGGAATGCCCGAATACCCAAACGCCTCGCTACCAAAATGCTTTCAAGATGCTTTTCTCTTTCTTTCACACAATGTACTACCACCGAAGAGCCAGCGTGATGACAGGTATTAGACGCCGCTCCCGGACTTTCTCCAATATTTACGCTCATAGTTGACGTGTACGCCTTCTTCCAGATTGACACTACGATCGGCTGTGGGCTGCCGTGTTGGAGCATCATGTGATGTGTTCCAACCGTCATCCTCGTCCAGATCCATCTGTGCCTGTCGTCGCTCCTCGTCCTTTTCGCGCTGGTGCTCCTCGTTCAGCAAATCCGTCATGGCTGCTTGCCATAACTTGTCGCTCTCTTTCATGCGCTTGCTTCGTTTCCGCTTGCCCACATTCTGCTTCTGTACGCCCGCCTTTTGTGCTGCCATGAGCTTTCTAAGACTTTGTTCGGCCAAGATGCCCTCCTCAGTTGCCTTTTCCCGAATCTTTCGCGGATCATGTTCGCGATTGGTGAAGACTGGTGTCGCGGAATATGTGTGCTTGGAAGGGAAGCCAGGAAAGTGTTCTGGGATATAAGGGCGCGTCTCTTTGTCTGCCTTGCCCGACAACTCGGGGCCTAACAAGGACTCGGTATCTGGGGGCGGGGCTTCTGGGGGTACGGGAGGTGCAAAGTAGGGTTGTAGTAGTGATGGAGGAACTTCGCCAGTGTCGAAATGTTGGTCGAGGGGTGCAGATCCGCGAAGACCCGAAGACGCCAGCGCGTATATCCAGTCGTGTGCTACTGTCTCGGTGCGACGCGAACTGATCATGGACTTGCGCACTTGGGCTAGAAAGTAGCTCATGTCTGGGTCAGGTTAGCCTGGGAAGTTCTAATGGGCTGTGCAGCCAGCTGGCGTCGCAAGGTGAAGCCATACAGGAATCAACCAGCGCCCGAAACTGCTCCAGCGCGTCCGGGCGCGCACCCTCGAATCCCATGCTCTTGCATTGTATTGCTATTGCGCGCCGCAATTGCTGGTCGAAAAAGTCCTTGCTTTCGCCAAAGCTATCAAACTCGGCGCTGACGGGATCGATAATGTGCTGGACTGGCTGCGTGTGGTGTAGTGCATGCACGACTCGCCGCTTCTTCTGCTGCGGCTCCCCATGTGTTGGCGCGTTGTCCGCCACATGCGCTCGCTTCATGCCTGCGGTTGCGCCCTCGCTGCTGGCGCTGGGAGAGAGTATGATGCCTGGCATATGCTGCTGGTGGTCTCGGGTTTGGTGTTTGGGGAGGGGGGTTGGTGATGTCGCAGGCCGGATGTGTGTACGCGAGGTTGGTAAAGTTATCGGTCGATGGGCGCGCAGTTGGGCGTGAGCGATGGGATGGGCTGCAAACGCATGCACCTGCAATTAAACTGGATGTGAACGTGCGAGAGATTCGGCGATCGACCGATGTTATTGTCTCCTTCACTTGTTTGCTGGCGTCGTGATTGAGTCGGAAGCTCTGAGAGCACAGGGCGCTAGGCCACTTTGCCTTACGTCAGCAGCAGCAGTAGTAGTTCTCCGTCGAACCACCACAACTTCAGCATACCCGCAGACGACCTTCACCAGCTTCCGCAACCCACACCCGCGTCCCGAAACTCTCCACTCCCCCGAAACTGAATCCAAAATGGCCATCAAACCGATTACTGGCGTATGTGCTGCCATTGAGTGTCTTGGGCAGCAGCGGGCATGAGGCTAATGACTGGATTGCAGATGCTCAAGCGACAGATCGTGCTCGATCTCTCTGTTGCCATGGGTGCGTAGAGCTCTTGCAGTGCGTGCGCGATACTTTGTGGGCCTTGGAACAGGCATATGGGGGTTGCGCGCGGGTTTGGGAAGCTTGGCTAACAGTGAGGGCAGGTATTGGCGTTGTTGCCGGCTACGGCTGGTGGTACGGTACGTGATATCATGTCGGACTTGCAACCGCGAAGAGAGTTGCTGCAACGAAACTCACGACTCGATACTGACGTTCCAAGGCTACCACGTCCCCGCCGTTCGTCACCGTGATGCTTTCTACCAGAAGCTCGAGGACGAGCGCGCATCGGCTCTGGGCCAGAAATAGACGACTAGCATGCGAACGTGGGCATGATGTCTTGATCAATTAATCATGGGATGATGGAAAAGATGATGGCTATGGATTGGGTGCATTCCAAAGTAGAATGGAGTCATAGAGCAAGCCAAATCAAACACGGTCAAACCCGCCCTACACGTGTGTTGTTTGGGTGCAATCACATCTTTATATTACATTTTGTGTCTTTTTTTCTTTGGATGAAATTGCTACCTGCAATGCCTGCAGAGAATTCGATATGCTTACTGTTATCTATTTGACACAGGATACTGATGTTTAAACTAAACAATGCTGTCAGGCGTGATAAGGATGCGGGGCTGTAGGGGACGGCCAAATGAGAGAAGAGATTGGATGAGCATGCTAAGGGGCAGTCATGAACATGTGCATGCATCAAGGGTGTTAGTTTGCTACTGCATGTGTTGTTGCTGACTGAGACTAGTCACATGACAAGTGCGAACATGAAGATGAACATCAGGGTGGGCAGTCACAGTGGAGCCTGCGGCAACATCCGACGGCGGTGCGTCCAAGAGGGCCGGGGAGGGGTTGTGCAATGAACAGTGATACGAGGAGTACGAAGAGACTTGTACGGAAGCAGCATGTCAAGCAAGAATAGGTTGGCGCAGTCGACAGCGGCATCCGCGACGGGCCGGGAAGGGGAAGCAGTACTCTACCTTGGAGGAGGAGGAAGAGGAGGAGGCGTGACGTGGGCAGAGGACAAGGCGGCATGACGCGATATGCAAGGAGGGAAACAGGTACATGTGTGTGTGCGTGTGTGGTGTATGTAAGTACTCGAAGGGCGATTGGCACTGGGGGCAGAGATGGCGAGGGCGTCTGATGACCGTGGGGGTGTGGTGTAAAGCAGCGGTGGCTGAGCAGGAAACGTGTCGGGCAAGGCGGGTGATTGGCTGGCTGGCCTGGTTGGTTCCCTGGCGATCACGACCAAGCCATGGTGGTGGCTGCAGGGGAGCGAAGGCACTGGCCGCCAAGGATCGACGTGAACCCAAAGCGTGGGCAGGCCAGGAAGGATTCAGCAGCCATCAGCCATTTGCACACGTGCATCCAACAAAGCTGACCATGGAAGGACAGGCGTGCTGACAGTGAGTAGGGCAAGTAGCAAGGGGCAGACAAAAAAAGCAATATCAGGGGGAGTGGTTATCGACGTCGAGCTGGGAACGAGAGGCGAGTGCTTTGACAGCGGCCTTGCTGGCTCGGAACGGGGGGGGTGGATTCCTGGCGTGCGGCGTCCTAGCGTCAGATGCTAGTCCTTCACCATGCGCTAGGGCAACGGGTAGTCGATCTAAGAGGCAGATTGAGCGTGGGCGTGAAGAAGACGCGAGATGCGACGTTTGTGTGTTTGAGCAAGGAGGGCAGGGGGGGTGGCGAGATATGCGAGAGTATGTGTGGTTTTGTGTTGGGCGAAACGGAGGCGCTGTAAGGGCGGGCATGGAGGCCACGTGGTGGAGAGGGGAGAAGGGTAACAGCAAGGGGGGGAGGGGAGAGAAAAGAAGAGGGAGAGTGCGGCGGGTGGCGGAAGCAGCGGCGGTGATTTGTGAGGATGGGGGAAGGAGGTGGTGGTGGTAGTGGTGGTGAGGGACTTGACTGGACTTGACTTGATTTGACTTGACTTTACTTGACTTTACTTGACTTGGGAGTTTACTTTACTTGGGAGTCGACCTGGGGTGGTGACTTGGGAGATTAGTGTTGCGACTGGGCTGGGGTCCAGGTCATTTCAGCAGTGCGAGGTAAGCAGATTGGACTTTTGCCCTGATCACCGGCCGAGCGAGGAGCGGGGCGTGTGTGGGCTTTTGCGCATCGTCGACGCCATGGCGCGCGGACGGGCCATGGACACCGGGGTTTTGATCACAGCAGAGGGTGAAACACACATGAACGGGCGTCGACACAAGGGCAGCACAGGCAGCTGTGAGTTGCAGCAGTTGTAAAACAAGAGGCAAACCTAGTGGAATGGGCGCGGGTGCAAGCGCGCGAGCAGCACGAGGGCAGTTTGGTGGCTGCGGAAGATTTGGTGGGGACATGGAGGCGCTACTAGACGGCCTGTCCAGGGCCCACGCCTGTCGCCTTTCCGCTGGGAGGCTTGTCCGGAAGCTGCCCAGAGGCCCAGAGGCCCAGATGGCTTGCTGCTGCTGGCTGTCAGTCACTCCGTCAGGTGTGCAGACACAGATGGCGACCAGGGTCACGCTGGTGACTCGGTGCGTTGCCTGGGCGCGGGTGCAGAGTGTGAACAGACGGGCGGCCGACGGCCGTTGGGCTGGCGCTGCGCTGCGCTGCACTCACTGTACTGCTCGCCGCCGTGTGGGTGAGTATGGGGCAGGACAGGTACTTGTGTCCATAACAGCTGATGTACACATGTACACATGTACACACATACATATGTACGTACACGCATACACTTACTTGCAGGCACATGTACCGACTACCTACACACACTGCAGTCATGGCCGTCGCTCTGCTGCGGCGGCGAGACGAGGCGCTAGTCCTGTTGGAGCCAAGTGCAGGCCTTGCTGAGCGTTAGAAGACGGGGGGGACTGGCTAGCACGCATAGTGATCCCTGCAGGCAGGTGCGACGGCGCCGGGCGCACTTGCTCTGTGCATGCCCTGCACCTGCCTGCTCAGCCAGCACGCCCGACTGCTGGTGCTGCTGCCATTGCTGCTGCTGGGCCTGCTGCTGCTGTTGCTCTGCTGTTGCTGCTGCTGCTGCTGCTTTGCTGTTTCTGTGCTGCTGCCACTTCCTTACTTACTTCGTCACCAACCACAGGCACCTTGACGAAACTCGGAGAACCGCCGCTGCCTGCCTGCGACGCGTCCTCTCGTTCGCCCTCGTCCTCTGCCTTGCCCTGCCTACCTACCCTACCTACCCTTACTCTTACCCTCTCCCCTCTACTCACTCCCACACTACCACCATTTTCCCTCTTTCTCTCTCCCTCCCTCCCTTCCCCCCGCCCTGTCCCTGCCCTCTTACGTCTGCATCGACGCGCACCCCCCGGCCTCTGCCACCGCACACAATCTAGGCGCCTTAGGCTTGGATGCTGCAACTGCTGCGACTGCTGCTGCGCTAACGCCGCCGTCGATCACACACCAACGAGCCGCAGCTGGCGAGCTGTCGACTTACTGCTGCTACTGCTGCTGCTGCTGCCACCGCCGCCGCCGTGCCCTTGCCCTTGCCCTTGCCCTTCACCCTTCACCCCAAGCCTCACTCATCGTGTTGGCTGCATGCTGGCCCTGCTCTCACCCATTCTCCTCTGCCCCCACAGCCTGCCTGCTCTCGTCCACGCACGCACTCTCTCGACCTAGCCTACATCGACTACCCTCTCTCCTCCTCCCTCAGGCCTGTCATCTTCACCGCCCGCCGGTGGTGCCTCTTACTCGCCTACTCGACGCCCGTGCCCGTCCCGCCGCCCGCCGTCTGCCGCATCACTCCAGTCCGCGTCCTGCATGAGTGTTGCTCTTCTCTACACCTCTGCGGCACCGCACCGCTGTGTCTAGAGCCCACCGCATCGCCAGCCAGCCTGCCAGCCAGCTAGCGCGTCCCTAACCCTTTGCGCGTCGCCATGAACAACCCAAACATGCAACAGAACGGCATGCAACAGGGTCGCGCCGCCGCCGGCATTCACCACTTTGTCCAGCACTATCGCGTCCAGCAACAGCAGGGCAAGATCCCACAAGGATGGCAGCAGACGACGTCGCCCGATGAGCGCGGCCAGCTCGCTCTGCAGTTCTTTACCCAGTACCGCTTGCTCAAGCCCGATATCCCAGAGGTCGAGTCGATGCGAGCCGCCCTCCAGTTTGAAACGCAAAACTTCATGTCGGCCCCTTCCAAGGAACAGTACCTCTCGCAAATCAAGCAGAAACTCATCGTCATGACGACCGCACGACAACAGCAACTGCAGCGCCTCCAGGGCGGCATGCCAAACAACATGAACAACGCAATGAACGGCATGACTACGGCCCAGATGAACATAATGAACCAGATGGGTCAGCAAGGCGCGCGCCAGCCCCAGCCACAACAGTTCAACCCAGCATTTCCAAACGCTCAGCTTCAGCGCCCCATGCAAGTCTCCCCCGTCCCCATGACACAAGGGCAGTCTTCCATGGGCGTCAACGGAGCCAACCCTGTCAACATGGCCCAAAATCAAAACGCCCAGCAACCAAACATGCAACCCAATCAGCAAACACGACAGGAGCAGTTGATTATCAACCAGTTTGCGAAGAAGTTGATGGATACTTGCAAAGAGGAGGTTCGCGTCAAGTTTGAGAATGATGTCCGCGCCTGGCCTGACGACAAGAAGCAGCAGTTGCTCAACCAAGGAATCAATCCCCTCTTCCTCCGCTTTCGTCAGCATGCTGAGATGCTCTACCGAAGAGGGGCGCTGAATCAGCCCGCAGCTGGTCAGAATAACGTCGCCATGCAGGGACAGCAGATGAATATGAATCAGCGCCAAGCCAATCAGGACTTTGATTTCACTGAAATCGCCAATCGGCAAATGGAGGCTATGCGAAGCCAGGACCAAGGCACAACCGTAGTACCTGCGAGCAACAACCCAAACAATGGTGGCCAAATGGGTGGATTCCAAGGTCAGAATCCACAGCCTGGTCAGGCTCCAAATGCCATGGCTCAGCGCCAGGCAGAAGCATTTCACCGCCAGGCACAAGCGCAGCAGGCACAACAAGCGCATGCTCAAGCTCAGGTGCAGGCGCGTTTAGAACAACAGCGCCAACAGCAAGTAGCCCAAGCAGCGCGTAATCAGCAGAATCAGTTACTGCAAGGCCAGATTGGCGGCTTAAACCTCCCACAGGGCACCCAGCAGCCCAGCCCTGCCATGCCTATGCTGAACAGGCCAATGCCTCCACCAGGCCAGCCAGGCCCTCCAGGAACGCCGCAGCAACGTCCACCCCAGGCTCATGTCCCCATCATGACACCGCAGCCCGGGCAGACTGATCCAAACTTGACCGAGCTCATGCGACAAGCGCAGCAAAGAGCTGCTGCCGTCCAGCAGGCCAACCAGCAACCGCTGACTGATCAAGTCCGTATGAACATGATGCCCCCTGACCTGGATGCTTCTGTAAAGCAACAGCTACTCAAGGTGCCAGAGCACCAGTTCCGCGTCATCCTCCAGAGCTACATGATGAATCTGCGTAGGAATAACGGCGGTATGCCTAACGGAGCATTCCCAACCGGGCAGCCGAATGGAGGTCAGCCAAACATGGCCTTCAACCAGCAACAACAACAGCAGCAGCAACAACAGCAACAACAGCAACAACTCCAGCCTGGCGTTGCTGGTCAAATGATTGGCGGACCTAATATGCAGGCTATGGTTCGACCTGGTATGAACATCCCACAGCCACCACCTGGTACTGGTCCTCAGAACCCCATGGGTGCTCAGCGTGGTCCCATGCCGAACCAGCAACAACGTGTCGCTGCTGCATCCAACCTGCTCCGTGCTAATCCCGGAATCATACATACCACCGATCCCAAGCCATTCCCTCCAAACGTACTAAACGCACAGATTCGACAGAGTCTTCCACCAGACGTCAGAACCTGGCAGCAGCTCAAAGCCTGGGCTAGTCAGAACCCTGCTTTAGTGCCTGGTGTCGACGGCCAAAAGTTACTCATGTTGCAAGTTCTACACTTCCAAGACATGGTCAGGCAGTCGAATGGCGTCACTGGCGTCCATCCGACACCACAGCCTGGCCAGGGACTCGTCCCACCAGGGCAGATCAACCCGAATCAAGGCCCTGTCAGAACACCTCAGCAGCAACCGAATATGCAGAACATGGCGGCACTTCAAGTCACTCCTCAAGAGTTGCAGCAATTCCGCGCAAGAATGGTTGGTCAGCCACAAGCCAACCTGCCAGACGACCAACTGCGCGGCCTTATGATTTCCATGAGAATGAAGAACCTTCAACAGCAGAGGCAACAGCAGCAGCAATCCGCGATGCTCAGCCAACAAGCTCAACGTAACCAAGCCCAACCTGTCGTCCCCATGGCTGCACAGCAACAACCACAGCACCAGCCCAATCGACCACCCACGGCGCAACCGCAAGCACAAGCGACACCCCAGCCTAAACCAGTGATGAAGCCACAGCAAGCACAACCCACACAGTCGCTTCCCAACAACAATGCCAATAACAACAATACTGTGAACAAGGGTACGAAGAGGCCACATGAGGACACCATGGAGTCCGGTAATGAGACCACTCCACAAGCTCCCCCTATGGCTTCTTCAAAATCTCAGCCTGGTCTTAACCTCACGCAAGAGCAAATGTCTAAGCTTACCCCCGCACAACATGCGCAGTACAGAGCGCAGTTGCTCAAAGCCCAGGATGCATCCAACAACAAGATGCAACAACAGCGCGGCGGCATGCTCAACTCTGAGGAGCTTCGGCAGAGAATGAGTGATCCTGCACGCATCCGGCAGTTTAAGCAAATGATGGAGGAGGTAGAGAAGAGCATACCCGCCAAGCAGCCAATCCCTCTGCCACCAGCAGCACGTACCGCTCTACAGAAATCGCTAAAGGAACAGTTCCAACGCCTGAAGCAGTCGGACCAAGCACTTCGCATCTTCCATGCCTCGTACGACACCAACGAGCCCGAACCAGTTATTCGTCAAATCATGCGATCGCGCGCACTATTGTTCAAGCAAATCAATGAGGCCGATGGCACTCTGCATCCTCAGGTGACACTGACAATCGACGAGTTTAAGAATCATTTGAGCACAATATTCAAGTTTGTCATCAAGATTCAGGAGAAGGTTAAGCAACAAACACAGGGTCAGGGCCCAGCTGCCCAGCAATCCCAACCTCAGGGTTCGAATGCCTCGCCTGCCCAACTTAATGCTGCAAATCTGAAGATCGTAGAACAACAAAACCGCAACCAAAAGGCCCCGCCCGCCCCTACGACCGACCGACCACCGTTTGCCATTGGCGCCGACCCCGGCCATGGAGCCGCGCATTACTTTGAGGGAGCAAGACCGGTCACGAACCTCGTGTTGCCTGAAAAGAAGCGTGCGAAGCTCGAAGCAGGCAGCCAATCGTCGACTCCCGCGGCTAGAGCCTCTCCTCACATCGGCTCAGGTAACTCGCCCGAACTCAGAAGACAGCCAGCACCCGACAAGCAAGTGCCACAAAGACCGACATTCCGATGCAACGATGCGACGTGTGAATACTCTGTACGGGGCTTTGATACCCAGACCGAACTCGACTTGCACAGCCAAATACACGCAAAGGTCGATAACCCGATGCAGTTTGCTCTCGACTCCATGGCTGAATACCTCGACGTTGACCAAAAGACTGGCGAAGCGAGGACGGATCCCAATGCCTCCAAGTCGACGCC